AAAAAAGAAAAACATAACAAAACCTAGAACAACATGAACATCTATTTTATTCTAACTAATACAAACCACATGAACATCTATTTTATTCTAACTAACATGAATCACATGAACATCTATTTTATGCTAACTAACATGAACCACATGAACATCTATTTTATGCTAACTAACATGAACCACATGAACATCTATTTTATTCTTTGGATTTTGGAGGAAAGAATAAAGTTCTTCACTTTGATGGTAAACAAAACCTAGAACATCTTTTTTAAAACATAACAAAACCTAGAACATCTTTTTTAAGTGAACATTTATTTTATTCTAACTAACATGAATCACATGAACATTTATTTTATTCTAACATGAACCACATGAACATTTATTTTATGCTAACTAACATGAACCACATGAACATCTATTTTATTCTAACTAATACAAACCACATGAACATCTATTTTATTCTAACTAACATGAATCGTGGTTCATGTTAGTTAGAATAAAATAAATGTTCATGTTAGTTGACAAAATATAAATGTTATATGTAAAAAGACATAGGATCCCTTTTAAAATATAAGCTTTAATGTGTTTCATACATTTTTATAGGTTCAGTTGGAGTCTCGATATTTTTATATAAAGTCCAAAACAAGGCATTATAGGAAAGAAAATTAATTGATTTATTAACCAAGCATTTTTTATGGCAGATCCATCATATACATTCCAGACCATAACATGATATGTCGTTCTGATCCTGAAAACAAAAATTTATCTGTACAATATTTTCAACCTAATTCAGGTGAAGCAAAGAGTACCTTTAGATATTACCTAAAGTACACGTGAGATTTCGTTGAGAGAAGTCACGTGCTTCGTGTTCATATATTTTCGTAATACGTTAACCAAGAATAACACTCTTAATTAATCCTATATTTATTTATCTATTTACAATGCTACATCTTTTAGTTTCTAAAACTCTCAATTTCATAGTGAATATTTTCTGAATTTAAAAACTAAAAGAAAGACATTTTTTTTATGATAATCTGATTAACTCGTACAATAGTAGGACCTGTTTTTCGTAATATGAGCAAAGCATAAGTAAACAGTTATGCTTCAAAGGAAACAATATCTTTGATTTAATTTTCCCAACCAACAGCAATTTTGAGGAAAATATTTACAAGTTTAGATTTGCCACAAATTTTGTGGAAGAATCTTTAGTGTATTTGTTTGCATATAGTTTAGAAACTGTGAAATCTTATCTACATCTACAGTGTTTACTGATACACGATCGTAACAGGACTGGAACTGTTGAAAGAGCTTACCCTACAAGGGGACTGTGTCGCTTAAAATTCTTCCCTGTTCAATTCCTTTAACCAGTAAAGGAAAACAGGGGATATATATAAATTCACCTAATTACAAAAATTCCAAAATCAAAATACTTATAATATTTAAGGAAAAGTGATTTAAAAATTAACATTTAAAGTTACTTTAAACACTGAAACAAAAGTACAAAAACTAAACCATGGTTAATATACAACACAGCTCAAGCTCATATCATCAACCTAGAAAAACAAACAGTTTCTACAGTTGTGACTTTCATACAAACAAATATTAACATTCAGTTTACGGGCAGAATAATGTCCAGATAACTAAAATAATAAATGGCAACATATTCCAAGATAAAATTAAAAAAAAAGAACACTAGAGGTCACTCCACAAAGAAAACAAATTACTTGCTTAAAATTTCTATATGTAAACTATAAGAAAAAACTCTGAACTTTTAACATGCTGATAATCAAATCCACATTGAAAGAAACAGTCCCCTTTATAGACCTCTACCAGTTCAACATCACATGAAAACAAATGCTCACACTAATACCTGTGCTAATACAAGATTCTATTTTTTATGGGATTTTTCTACACTGTCTTCAGTTCCAGCTCTTTAAAATACCTCCGACAGAAAAATGCACGTTTGGACGGTGGCTTGTCTGCTTTTACTAGAAGAGCTCGTTGCTTGGAAGACAACTGTTCGTATGCCCGACGGTACTCTCTATCAAAAGCAGCTTGTAAAAAACAAACAAACATGATTTTATTATTTAACATAACATCAAAAAAATAAGAAATGACAAAATTGAAGCATCTTTTTTTTGGAGATATGTTTTGTTGAAACAGAAACAATACAACTATGCTTATACTCATTTTGAAATTAAAGACCGGAATATTATAACAATTTAAAATATTTTCCATGAAAGCACAAAGTGTTTACAAAACTGTAAAAACAACTCAGCAGAACTATTCTAGGGAAATTATTACAACTCAACAGAACTAGGGAAATTATTACAACTCAACAGAACTAGGGAAATTATTACAACTCAACAGAACTAGGGAAATTATTACAACTCAACAGAACTAGGGAAATTATTACAAAAGATATAATAGTTGCTTGTTATCCCAAATTCTATGGAGCAGTTTCAAAATACAACAGTCTCCTGATGACGTATCTCCTGTTAATGCTGTAAATTCACTTGTATATCTCTATGATAATCATTATGTCCTTTCAATGGTATCAACCATTTTTATATATGAACCTCTTTGAGAGTGACTTTCCATCATGATATTGGTATCAACCATTTTTATATATATGAACCTCTTTGAGAATGACTTTCCATCATGATATTGGTATCAACCAGTTTTATATACGAACCTCTATGAGAGTGACTTTCCATCGTGATATTGGTATTGCTTCAATGTAATATGTTCTTTATTTACAGAAATTTAAGAAACAAATTTTCTAAAAATTTTTTGCAATTTTTTTTCCTAGTTAACCAATAATAGGAATATTTTTTATAAATGTAAGACACCATGTGACATGCACAAGTAGGAGCCCTAAGTATAAAATTTAACCCTACAAGGTAAAATAAAGATTGTTTGATAGGTATCTAACCTCTATTTTTTATGAATGAAGGTTACTTCACTGGTGCTCATTAATAAAACAGAAAGTTCTCTGTTTATAAAGAATTGGGAATTATGTTGTTTTACATGGCAGAAAAATGTTACTTCACTTATAAATAAAACCTCTCTCTCTCCTATTATCAGTGCTAATATTTCAGTCCCAAGTACAGATGAATTTAAGGATACATGGTTTGAGTTTCTACTCTCATGGCACAGACAATCATTTCAAAATTTATTAAGAAAAGTATTCTAGTGTGTGGAATAGATGTTAATACAAGATCTGTATTTTTGCTGCTGTTTCAACTTAGGGATACTGGGGTATAAATTTTGGAAAGCTAATTTTACTTTACAACGTTATATTCTATAAACATGTTACATAATTTTACTAGTGTCAAGAAACTGCCTTATGCAGACTAAGTTCATTTTTGATAATTAGATATTACTTACTGTGATCAATATTTTCTCTACCTAGTGCAACAAAACAAAGGAACAACATACTACGGTAGATACTATGGTAGCATCGTCGACCGGACTGATGCTTTCGCCTCTCGTTTATCAATAACGACATTGGGGACAAAAGGTCATTACACTGGATGCTTTTCAGGATGTGACACATGAGGCTGATGGAGAAACAGGATGTTAGTCATTATTATACTTTTACACTGGACTAATATAAACTTCTGATTAGAAAAAGGCTACATACTTAGAATGAAACAAAAAATTAACTGGCCATCAGAAGAGCTAATTAAATATATGTATCATATGTTTCTATACTTACAGAGACTAGAATTCACTGCATTATTATACTATTATTGTGGATGTAACATTATTACACTATTATTGTGGATGTAACATTATTACACTATTATTGTGGATGTAACACTATTATTGTGGATGTGACACTATTACACTGTTATTATGAATGTGACACTATTACACTGTTATTATGAATGTGACACTATTACACTATTATTATGGATGTAACACACAATTATTATGGATGTAACACTATTACACTATTATTATGGATGTGACACTATTACACTGTTATTGTGGATGTAACACTATTACACTATTATTGTGGATGTAACATTATTACACTATTATTGTGGATGTAACATTATTACACTATTATTGTGGATGTAACACTATTACACTATTATTGTGGATGTAACATTATTACACTATTATTGTGGATGTAACATTATTACACTATTATTGTGGATGTGACACTATTACACTATTATTATGAATGTAACACTATTACACTATTATTATGGATGTGACACTATTACACTGTTATTATGGATGTAACACACAATTATTATGGATGTAACATTATTACACTATTATTATGGATGTGACACTATTACACTGTTATTATGGATGTAACGCACAATTATTATGGATGTAACATTATTACACTATTATTATTGTCAAGATATAAAAGAATGTTTGGTTTAAATATTAGTGATTAATTTATATTTGTGAGTGAATATTTTATTATTTTTAAGTGTTGTTTTAATAAGAGTTAAAAACAGACAACTGTAGAACGTTTTGTTAATAACTAATTGGTGTCAAGAATATAGAAAGTAGCCAGACGACTATGTAATAAAGATATAAATAGTGTGATACGAGCAGGAATCAGCAGACAAAGAGTATTAGACAGATAAAAGCAAAAAGAATATTGTTGGTGTGAAGTTAAGTAACGTAAAAGTGATAGGCCTAACGACTGACATAGGCCTAACGTTTGATATATATATTAGAGTGAAACTAACAGTGGAAAAATAAATAAGGAAAATAAGTTTATTCCATCAAAGAGAAATTCTAAAGTAACTGAATCAGCCTGAGAGCAATTTGACAAAAATAACATAGGATCTTAAGAAGAAAGAACACAACAATCGTAAGTGAATCACACCAGACTAATATTGCAATAGTATTAGAGAAAAATAGTTTGGTTTGTCAACTGAGATTCTAATGTATTTGAACAGGCCTAAGTAGATGACTTTTCACAAGAAGAAGAGAACTATACATATACTAATATAACATTTACGATATGCTTATATTCTCTATAGTGTGAACACTTTATTGTACATATGTTTAATTTGTTCCGAATATATATATTATTTTGAAAACAAGTAAAGTGCGTGCTGCTTATTCATAGTTGAATTTATCGTTAAGAAGTCACGGACACCAACTGTAGAAGAATCCTAAGTCCAACAAATACATAGTATATATTTATACTATTAAGAAATGTAAGTAAAAGCCCTCTATCTCGACAATGAGCAAAAAAAAAAAACAAGAACCCATATATATATATATATATAATATTATTTTTTAAATCTGACAGTTATGGATGTAACTATTACACTATTATTAAGAATGTGACACTATTACACTATTATTAAGAATGTGACACTATTACACTATATTATGAATGTGACACTATTATAACAAAATAAAAAGGTGATTTAGAAATATAAAAAAATTGATTATAACCTTCCTTTCATAGTACTAGAGCTTTTCATCAATGTTTAGATTCATGCTTTCAATAAATTTGTTTAATTTAAACTCAAACACAGTTTCTTTTGTATTTCTACAAAAGTTATCGACTGATTGGATCTTGGGTATGTATCATATTCAGAAAAGTCAAGTGTGATTGCAAATTAAAGAAACTGAGCTTACTTTCTGGAGATCTTACGCTCATCAGTCACCAGAGCATGTACGAGAGAGGACTGAGATCCTGAAAAAATGTTTAGAAATAACAGTATTAACAAACAATAGAGACATAACAGGTTATTAATGACAAAAAGGTTAACAGAGAATTAACAGTAAAAACATTACCAACACAACAAAAAAAGATCCAAGAGTTAGAATATCAATACAAGTAACAACAGATTCAAGTTAGAATATCAACACAAGTAACAACAGATTCAAGTTAGAATATCAACACAAGTAACAACAGATTCAAGTTAGAATATCAACACAAGTAACAACAGATTCAAGTTAGAATATCAACACAAGTAACAACAGATTCAAGTTAGGATATAAACCCAAGTAACAACAAATTCAAGTTAGAATATCAACACAAGTAACAACAGATTCAAGTTAGGATATCAACACAAGTAACAACGGATTCAAGTTAGAATATCAACCCAAGTAACAACAGATTCAAGTTAGAATATCAACACAAGTAACAACAGATTCAAGTTAGAATATCAACACATGTAACAACAGATTCAAGTTAGGATATCAACCCAAGTAACAACAGATTCAAGTTAGAATATCAACCCAAGTAACAACAGATTCAAGTTAGAATATCAACCCAAGTAACAACAGATTCAAGTTAGAATATCAACACAAGTAACAACAGATTCAAGTTAGAATATCAACACCAGTAACAACAGATTTATATTAGAATATCAACACAAGTAACAACAGATTTATATTATAACATCAACACAAGTAACAACAGATTCATATTATAACATCAACACAAGTAACAACAGATTCATATTAGAACATCAACACAAGTAACAACAGATTCATATTAGAATATCAACACAAGTAACAACAGATTCAAAGTAGAATATCAACA